GCTACGTACCCGATCATTGGCATCATCACGTTTGCGACGGGCATGTCGACCTTTGCCGGTCTCCGGTACCTCTCCAACAGCCCGGACGTGACGTTCGCCAAGGAGAAGCGCACCGCGCTCTTCCACCGGTCCAGTGACGAAGGTGCATCGTTCCGGTCGCACCGCATCGACATGGCCCATCTGAAACTCAACCCGATCACGCGCAACGGCGACTTTGTCGAGTTTCGCCAGCGCCACGCTTAAGACTATATTTTTCCATTGTACACTACAATAATCTAGCATCTGTTCACCTCAACTCAATGCGATCGTCTGCACGTTGGTGTTTGTCGGCCCCGTTTTATTACTTGTCCCTAGCGTCGTCGCGCTGACTCATGCTCGATGCAAACCCTGCTGACAGCTTTCAACCTTGCGTCACCTGTATATTTCCACTTGGTGTGGACGCAGCGCTTCGAATTTGACGGTGAAACGCTATCAACTGCCGTCGAGCGTCGGTCAGTTTTGGCTTGGACGCAGCATGGCCGACTCGCCCCAAGCGCTGCACGACCGGCTCGAGAAGAGCGCATTTGCGTTCGAAGTGCTCGAAGCCGCGTACCTCAAGCTCGCCAACGAGAACCGGTCGCTGAAAGATGCGCTCACGACAGCAGAGCTCAAGCTGCTCGACCAACCGCCCCTCGTGGTGGCAACCGAGCCCGTCGATCTCTCGTCGGCGTTGCTTCAAGAAGAGGTCCAAGCGCTGAGCGACCAAATGGCAGCATCTCAAGTCGTCATACACGCGCAAGAAGCGTCCATCGCGCGCCTCGAGGAAGCCGCGCAGGTTTATGAAATGGAGCTCCTCGACGTCCACATGCAGCTCGAAATGAAAACGCTGCACCGAACGCAGTCCATGGCCGACGACCAAGGGCCGCTGACCTCACCTTTCTTTGCTGCGCTCCAAGCAACGGTGCAAGCAACGTCGCCAGCGCCCCCCCCAAGTGGCTACCAACACCGACGCGCGCAGTCGCTGACGCGGGCCCCGATCCTCGACCGCGAGGCAATGCACGAGGCGAGAGTCGACGCAGACCACTGGCAGCGCGTGGCGCAGCGAACGGCGCAGGAACTTTTGAGCGCACGGGAGGAGGTCGCTTGCCACGAACAAGTCGCCGCGTCGCTCCGCCACGTCATCGAGCACCAAGCCACCGAGCACGCGCTCATGACGGCAGCCCACCGCGATGCGATCCAGTCACTCAAGGAGAAGCTCGACTCGCAGCGCGCTCGGCTCGACGTGCTCAGCCCCATGGAAGCGGCGCTCACGGCGGCCACATCGCGGCTCCGGGTGCTGGAAGCCGCAGTCGCGACCGACATTGTCACGCAGCTCAACGAGAAGAACCTCGCGCTGCAGTCGATCCAAACCACGCTACGCCAGCACACGCTGCTCCTGCGCACGCGCGGCTGCCACGAGAAATCCCTCGCCGCGCAGGTTGCGATCTTTTGCAATGACGTGGCAGCGCGTGTGCGCCAGCTCGTGCTCGAAACCGAGACGCTCAAAGACGCGAAGACATCGCTCATGGCGTCGTCTGAGGCGCAGCTCCAGCGCATTAAAGAGCTCAAAGGCCAAGTGCAGGATCGGGACGCGATCTTGCGCGTGCTCCAAGTCCAAGTCCACCCGACACCTTCGTCGCACACACGGCCGCTCGATACGCTTCGCGCCAGTCTGAGCTCGCCAAAGCTCCAGCGCGCGCCAACCGAGTGGCTCTAGTTTACTCATGGATTAATTGAAGAGGTCGGGCAGAAATAGCCCCAGCTTGGGCTTGGGTTTCGCAATTTCTTGTACAATCTCGTCGTCGAGGTCCGTGGACGCACGACGGAGCGACGACCGCCGGGCCTCGACGTCTTGGCGATGCAGCACGCCAGCGCGGTCCACGAGGCTCCGCATTGGCGTTTCCCGGACCTTGGTGTCGCGGGCCGACTCGGCCGCCAGTGCATCCCGGCGTGTTGTTTCGAGCGCCGAGAGCACCGACTGCCCTTTGCTCCGCTCTAAAACGTCGGGGGCCATATGGGCATTGAGGAGCATTCGCCGCCGGTATGCAGTGATTAGTATCGGGAACGGCAAGGTCAAGTCGCCCAGCTTCCCCGCTTGGAGGTCTATCATTGCGTGAGAAGAAGTACTTGGTAGGACGGGGCGGTGTACCGTTGAAGAGCGTAAGGACAGAGTTGTCGCATGTGGTCGGCGTTGGGCGGTGGCCGCGCTCCGTTTGCGGCCGTAATGCGACCTCGGGCTGGCGCTTGGGGTCGCTCAGCCTATACTGCGTGCGCTCCTTTGTCTGCTTCTGGCCGTGCATCATGGCGAGGAACTCTGCAAAGTTGACTTCCCCATCTTCCGAATCGTCGACCGTTTGGATGAGCTTGCGCACGTCCTGCATTTCATGACACGCCATTGGGAAGGAAAAGAGGGTGTACACTGCGGCACTTGGCCAACCCCACCGAGACGAGCGGGTCCTCGAGCTCGTCGATGCCGATCTCACCTGACCCGTCCGAGTCGAGAAACTCAAACCATCGGCGCATGAGCACCATCTTTTCGCGTTCTTCCTTCATGCTGCTTGCCTTGCCGTGCGTTTGAAGCCACTGGTGGCAGCTCCACGCGAGCCCTTTGGCAGCATTCTCGATTGGTACGTCGGGCGACGGCTCGTCGAGAGGCGTGGAGGCCCCAACGTTGTGGAGGGGCCGGCGTCGGTGCAGCGGCCGTCGTCGCGTCTCGATACACGAGTCGCCCGAAGCTGTTTGATTCCTTGCAGCCGGATGTTGTACCATCGGGTTGTACAGTCCGCGTTTGGGAGGCCGAGGTATCTATTATACGAAGCTGGAGATTAGCGCCCTCTCAGCTACGAAGTGCTCCGCCACCAGGAGACGCTTTATGGCGTCATGCTCTGCTTGCGCTGGCGGAAGCTGGTGTCGAGAGCCTCGACGACGGTTCTCAAGGACGACGACGCTGTCCGTCGCGGGCGAGTACTCGTACTTGACCTTCCCGCAGTGCATGTCCCGCCTGTCTAGTCGCTGCTCGGCTAATTATAGCGCCACGTCAGAGCAAAGCACCTTGTACGAGTAATAGGCTCTCTCTACTAGAGTACTATTGAGTCGTATCGACGACCTACTCGTATTCTCTATGAGCGTGGACAGATCGTCTGCTGGATGCTTGTCATCTCGGGCGTGGCCGATCGTGGCGAGGTCGCTTACCGGATACCGCCTCCACGTGGCCGCCATGGTATCCGGATTTGTACGCCACGAGTAACGAGCGATAGTATGGGCTGGTGGTCGGCCATGGACGCGTACCTCCATGTCTACGTTGCGATCGGCGCTGCCATGGTCGCCAAGGCCTGCCAAGAGGCGTGGCTCGCTGCCTTCTACCAGTACGAGGCGCTGGCGGCTAGAGGCAACAGCCGGCGCGTGCTCGGCCGTCTGCGCTTTGGCTACTGGTCGCTCTTTGGCTCGCAGCTCGCGAAACACTGGGTGCTATGGTTGCCAGGCCTACTGCTGCTCGCGTATTGGGTCTGGAGCCGCTACTTGTCTGGCAGCTGGAGCACTGTGAGCGTCGACACGGTCGACGATGCGGACGTGCCCGAGCTCGAGCCCATCGAGCCAAGTAGCGTCGAACGACCACGCGCGCCAGCAGCGACGACCACGACCACGTGCAAGCCGCGACAAAAGAAGGCTTTGCGCACGATCAAGGACCACGAGGCGTCCCAGAAGCGCAAGTCCGAAAGGGCCTTTCAAGCCCTCCTCGCGCAAAAGGCCAAATTCGAGCATGCGACGGTCGAGCGACCGTCCGGCTGGATGGTGTACGACGCAGCCGCAGGAAAGCTGGTGCTCGCCAGCGGCGACTAATAGAGCGACTTTTGATGTAGTGATTGGTTGCCAGAACGCACTTAAATTGGATGCCACGACTACAAATTCTCGGAAATGAACTCCTTGATCGCCCGCTTGTGCATCGACACGTCCTTCTCCAAGTCGTGCGTCAAGGTTTCCATCACCTACAGATCCGTCGGCTTTGGCTACTCGCAACAGAGGGACGTACGGCCTTGAGCGTCAGCTTCTCGACGTCGCCGTCGTCCATGATCTTCTTGACCCGGTCTTTCAAGTCCTGCGACAGGGACGACAGGGACGGGACGGCCTTTTCTGATGACGGCGACGACTTGGGCGATTCCGTCGCTTCCGACGGCATCGTCTCCTCTGCTTTCCGCGCCATCTCTTCGAAATCATCCGCGTCGCTCTCTGTCTCGGCTTCGTCCTCTTGGGGCGTCTACGTGCGTTTCCGCTGAGATAACGGGAGGCGTCATAGGACGCACCTTCTTGGTCACACGCTTCTTCTTGGGAGCTGGCTCGCCCTTGGCCTTGGTCGTCTTGGTCGGTGCCTAGGATAGAGCGATGAGCGAGATGGAATGCACGCAGGTATGAGCAACCTTGCGCTTTGTGGCCGTCTTCTTCTTTGGGACCGAGTGGGAGATGGCTTCGTCGTCGTC